TAACCTAAATATATTCTATATATAGATCGATAGATTTGGTACACACTGAAGCATATTCTGTGAATATTCCTTCTGTAATTTGCATACTGGTCCAGTCTCAGCTTTATGCAGATGTGGAATAAATGTTTGTGTGTGTGTGTTTCTCAAACTGTCATGGAATCTTCACACAAGTTTGACCCTGTGCCACCATTTATATATTGCAATCTTGTGATCTGTGAACTGATCTCAGGATTATGGTCTTGTAGAGTGTGACACTGTAATTTGGTAGATGGTTAATAATATTTCAGAGAAATCTGCTGCCCACATCCATAATCATGATGCTGCCGCAAGCTCAAATCTCACGNAGAGTGTGACACTGTAATTTGGTAGATGGTTAATAATATTTCAGAGGAATCTGCTGCCCACATCCTCATATAGCCGCAGTACTGTGCAGTGCCACATCACCAAAGTCCATAATCATGATGCTGCCGCAAGCTCAAATCTCACATTATGAATTATGTTTAAATTGAGTCAGGTGATCGAAATGACTCTGTGGTCTAGTGGTCAGAGGTCCTGGGTTCGATTCCCGGCACTACCAGATTTTCTGAGAAGTAGTGAGTCTGTAACAGGGTCCGCTCAACCTCGTGAGGATAATTCAGGAGCTACTTGAATGGAAAAGTAGTGGATGCATTCTAGAAAACCGAGATTAACGGCCGTGGGAATCCACTGCTCTGGCCACATGAGACCCTCTATCCGCTAAAGTTGACATTAACTTTGCCGACAAGCGGCAATCGCTCGGTCGGTATAGTTCTCTTGCGGGCTAAAGGCCATGGAGCTTGTTTTGTCTTTCATGTAAGCTTACATTTCTACCTCCTCACACTGTGCCATATAACTCACTTCATTGGGTAAAATGCGCACCCACACATGCTCTAAGAGATTCATGTGACAGCAATGCCTGCAATTTGTTTTAAATAAGTTGTCTCAAGGCAAACAGATGACAAGTGTTCAGTGTGACATCGATGCACTGAATGTTGACTAAAATTCTGTTTCTTTTAGCCATCTGCGAGTTACGCTGTTGTTCCTTCATGGTCATGCTTTGGCACATTATTTTCAATATAGGTTTGAAATATGTTTTTACATAAACAGGATAAATATACGTTGTTTTGTGCTGTTTTATGTCATGTCTTACTGTACAGATACCAGCATATAATAATGTGCAAGTACAGCAGAACCCCAGTTATAAAACATTCTGTGTTATCCGACTTGACTTGAGCTCCTTTAAACGATTCACTTTTAGATTTTACCATGTATGTATGACTTCTTGATTTATAAAAGTGTAGTTTATATTTATTTTTTATGTTGTTATTACCATTGAAATATTATTTACATGGTATTGTTTCATAATACAGTTGTGAACCAAGTTGTGTAGCTATTTGCTCATTGTTTTTAATGTTACTTGTATTATTCAGCATTTTCAGTTATCTGACTGCCCTTCAGTTTAGGCCAGGTAATTGGGGTTTTACTGTACGTATAAGGAAATATTCAAACACTTTTATCAGTGGTGGACTTCAAGGAGAGTAGCTCAGTAATTCCTGCAAGAGAGCTGTTGCAACTTTTCCTTTGAAGGCACACAGAAATCTTGACTCTGCTATTGATCTGGATTTGTCATTTTTACAGTATTGAGATATATTTACCTTGCCAGTAGTAGTAGTATGTAAGTTTTCACATTACATTAATATAGAAACATTTTATACTTTTATTGCCTAGTTTGTTGTATTGTGTTTATTTCTATTTGAAACTAAAAGATTACAGGGTACAGGCATGTATGACTGCCTGCTTCTGAAGACACCCGCTTTCTGCCACCTTCCTCTGTTTTCCCTTTGTTGCTATGGTGACACAGCACATTCACCAGGAGGCACTATGTGGATGATGGTATTCATGCAAAACTGGCTTCAGCACACATCACGTGCATATGTATACAGTTCAGTCTAGGACAACTGAAGTGGAAACGTGAAGTAACGTCCAGTGCATAATTTGATGGACATGTAAAAGGAACAAGTGTTTTCTTTGAAAGTTCTAAAGATATGAGGTAACATTTCTTTGCATCTCATCTCAACTATGAAGATTATATAATTTTAGTAGTTTAGTTTTTTTCTGTTATGGTATGTGAAAAATGATAATTATGGAGGTAAATGAGGTACGTACAGAACTGCTGTGCTTCATAAATATGGATAAGAAATTTTTTTTTAAGATTACAGTCTTCTGGGGTGTCATGCCATTTATGTGGAAAATAATGTGAATTTACATTTTATACAGAATTCTGTATAGACAGTGTCACGTAACTTCGAACAAGGTCCCACATTCCTAGTCAAATCCCGCGCATAGCTTGTGGGAGGAGTTTCTGAACACTCGTTCTTCCCTCGAACCCAACCCCTTGTCTAAAACTTTTCTTCTGCGCATTCAAGGTTCCTCTTGGCCTTGTTCGAAGTTACGCGACACTTGCTATACCAACTTATATTCTCATTACTGTAGACCCTTATTACTGAATAAATGTAAATTATTTGGGGTGTCCCTGTAAATTAGCAATAGTCACTGACAGATTTTGACACCCACCACCTCCCTCTTAGACTGCACAATATTTGAATAGCAAAGTGTTGAGTTTTACTCTCAGAAGGGTTAAACCAAGTGAAATTTACTGCACAGTGTGTGCACATTATGAGAACAGTTGTTTATCATCACAAAATGTGTATAAGTTGCATGAACTGTTTGGAAACAGTTTCACGGGTTTAGTGGAACAGTCAAAGCAGAAACACCTGGTACAGTTCAACATGCTAATGATCTTATTCAGGAGAACCAGCCTATCACATTAGAAGAAATGTGTGTTGAATTGAACATTGGCCATGGGACTGCAGGAATAGCTGCAGCACCAGAAGGTATGCACACACCTTCATCTCACTTACTGACATCCTCCTAGTTTGGTAAGTAGGTATCCACATTTCAGAGGGAGCTGCTGTCTTCATATTCTGGGTAGAAATATGAGCTAGGTGGGGAAAGGATGGTATTTAATACAGGGGAACATGGGAACAAAATGTGGGCTATGAGTGAACAAAAGACTGGTTGGTTCTGTGAGGGGATACAAAGAAAAAAGGAAGGGTGCATTGGCTGTCAGCATACCAGTGTGAATTGTTGGTTCTACAAGGGGGTAAGGAGAAGGGAGGTGAAACACTCCAAGAGCTCAAGAAAAACAAGAATTAAAGAAGTGGGGAATAATATTGTGAGGAAAGAAAGAGAACTGGGAGAGAGGGCCCTAAAGAAGGCAATGGGAGCCCCATCCTTTTTATTCCCTCTAGGACCAGTGGCTTCCACTTCTTTCATAGCGCTTGCCTTGTTTATACTGCTATACCTTCTATCTTGGACGACTCATCTCATTCTTCTGCCCTGAAACTGGACGCAGCAGGTTCCTCTGTCTACCAAACTACACAGTATCACATCTCAAGAAAAGCTGAGAACCTCTTAAGTTTGAAAAGTGGTTGTCGTGGATCAGGTAGAACATGTGTTTGTGACTTTAAGAAGGTAAATTAGAATGTTCATCTTAATTTTCAATATTTTTATTGCATTTAAAGCATTGTTATTGTTTCAGTTGAAGTTTTAGGTTAATTCTATTTACACATCATCAGTATATTACATAGAAATAAATATATGGATACAGTAACTTTTCAGTGAAAGATCTCATATTTTCAACAGGACAAACAAGTGTTTGCATTGCACTGAATATCCAAAAATTGCATTCACTACAATATGGGATGTAACGTACGTCTGCAAATAGCATGTATATTTATATATGTTTATACCTTTATTAACACTGTATATTAACATAATGTCCAAACTGAGCTCCAGTTATTTATCCCTATACGAGTAATATTTCACTGCTTTCATTGGTGATCATATATGTTAAATTTTGAGGAGAAATCCTTTACGTTGCCCATATGTAGTTAAAAGTATATTGTCCAATTTCAATAACCCCATGAAAAGAAATAATATATCAAATTCACGTTTGCAGTTCTCAGAATTCGGTATCCTAATCTACTAAACAGGTCACAGAGTACCTCTTGGTTTCTCCGTATTGTTGTACGTACAGAAGAACGAAAGTTTTAACATTTCCAGTGAAGTCTTCTGTTAAGTGCACTGTGTGAGAATGTTGGGTGAGACCCAAGTTGACAGGAAGATGGCCCTTCTGTATAATTCTGCTAGCCTGTGGTAGTTGTTTACTATCAATATATAGTGTTCTTGTATTTCTGTCAGTTGATATCCAAGAAAATTGTAGGTAAAAAAAAACAGTGCAGATTTAAAAGGTTATGTGCAACAACAGGCCATTTAAATGTCCCCACTTTGGTTAGGGACATAATATATTTTGTAAGATTTGAGGCTTTCACGGCGGTGACTATGAAGAAAGCAGTCTTCTGGGATTTGGCACCGTGTATATGTGGTGTTAACCGACGTTTCGGAGGAACGTATCTCCTCCATCTCCATCTTCCACAGTCTGCTTTTACCGGTTCTCACGGTCTCTTTGCTTGCAGATTCTTATATATTTTTTCTTCTACCCTGAAGATGGAGGCGATACGTTCCTCCGAAACGTCGGTTAACACCACATATACACGGTGCCAAATCCCAGAAGACTGCTTTCTTCATAATATATTTTGTTTAATCTCAGCTTGCACTATGAGATCACTGCCGATTGTGCTGTACTACAGTCACTGTCAAAGATTTACATTCAGAGTAAAATGATGTAGAATGAGTACTAAAGGCAAAGTTCTTCCTATGCTTAATTAAGCACCATGCTGTGCAGATATATGGGGGGAGAGGTACTATAAGAAACATTTTTGACCTTGGCACTAAATGGAGATCAGTGGTCAGCTTCACACCCTGGCTAGTGCAGCATAAGACCAATTTTAACATCTGAAGATGTCAGAAACACTGATCTCTGGAGCTTCATTATTTTTTGTAATGCCTAGTTTGCAAGATTTTATTCATGAACAGAAGCTATCAAGGAGCCCACGAAATCATATCACCTTTCAGTCTGATAGGTTTAACTTGTCCAGATTTGGAAGGCAAGCTCAGGAACAAATTATGAACTTCTACCCAACATCCCCAACATTTATGCATCACTTCACTAAATAAGACTCATCATGGATTATGCATCTTCGCTATTCTGTAATACAAAACCTTACATCAATTTTATGGGAGAATGCTAACCAGCAATAGCAAAGTCTTCAATTGCATCTTACCCGACAGTAATACAGGAATCATTTTGAAAGTCATATAACAAGTTTGCTGTTTTCTTTCATTTAGTCAACCAATTTACTGTAAGTTGTAATTAACATTCAGGGCTTTCTGTGGCAAAAAGATGTACTAAATAGCAAATCTGTTATAATAACGGCATATGTTTTCAGTTGCAAGGAATGTTGCCTCTTAATTCACATGGACCACAACCTTCCTTGAAAGCCACCTGTGTAACCCAACGTCCTCACTGTACTCACTCTGATGCTAAGAAAACAGGTAGCATTTTCCTCTGAACTATTGATATTATATACAAGACTACACGGTGTCACAACCTGAACAACTGCCCCCATGAATACTCCAAAATATACTGGAGAAGAATGTCTCGGTAAAACTGACAATACGCTACAAATCTGATCATTATTTGGGTGAGAATATTTACATGACGTCAAATATAACGACTCTTTCTGCTGTACAGCATTCCACTTCGGTACAGACAGGACATTAGAGCCGAGTTGAAGCAATGTGTATCTCTTCATGTACGATAAATATGGCATAACTGTTCAAGTATTAACTGAGAAAAGAATCAAACAAGTACAGATAAAAATAAGAAGTAAAATCAGTACCATTATTCAACAACTATCAAATATGTAATCTCATAATTTCTTATTGAGGTTACAAATAGCCAAGTACAAGCTTGCATTTCTTTTTGCTCTAGCAAATCTCATTTTCATAAATTTTAACATATTTTGTATTAAATATTACCCCAGACTGTGTCTAAAATATCTTTGGCAGTGTATCACGAGACTATTACATTGCTTTTAGAAAGTCACTAGATACAACATATACAGAGAACCAAAATCACCATACCATAGATCTTGAGCACAAAGGACTCTTCTTCCGTGAGGTTGCCTATGCAAGACATTACATACCCTGAAAGATGTATTAGACAAAGTTTCAAAGAACAGTCACTTGTCAAAACTGAAATCTATTTCTTCAGTATCACTTGCACTTTTAAGATCAAAATTCCAACAGATAGACCAAATTATTAAAGTAAATATATCCATGGAATTAAAGGCAATTTTGACTTTTACTGGTCTACATGGTGTTATATCTCAGAAGATAGAAGTCTTCATAGTTACCATTGTGAGAACCTCAGATCTCACAATGTGCCACAGTTTGTTTCATATAATATTTAAACTGTACCATGATTTTGAGAGTATTATTACTCGTTATGTATTTAAGGTTTTCATGTTCTTCAAGACAGATAATACAAGACAACATCTGATGATCTGTCTTTTTAAAGTGAAAATCATTGGGACAATAAGGATTTTGTTTCTTTAAGTATGTGTGTGAAGTTTAGTATATGTAACAGTAAGGGCAATCAGAATGTTTGGAACATTAACTAAAGACTTCATATAAAAATCATCCAAACAGTAGGTACTGTACACAGCAAGCAATGGGAACATGTAAAAGGAAAAAGGATTTGTAGAAACAGAACAGGTGAACTGCAGTGGTTTAGATACAATACAGATATCAACCTCAAAAGTAAACTGAAAGATCAAAAGGATCAAAAATGCAGCAAAACTCGCATTTAAGGCATCTTTAAAGACTAGTAGATTTGAACATGTAGCTAATGATTTGGGATGAAACAAATCCAACACTAAATGAGGGAAAATGTTAAAATGGGGATTCCACCACTTTTTAATCAAAAATATAAACATCAAGAAACATACCAACTGCCATATCTTCCAATTTTCATAACTGTATAATCAAAACTGTGTGGAGAAGGTCAAAAAAATGTGGAACCGCTATTCAAAGCATTTATGTTGTTATATTAGAATGTCTGACATTGATTGTGATTGCCACTAAAATCATGTCATAAGCTGCAGTTATGATACTGACACCATCCTATGTTTTAATTGGAATTATTGTGTCATTCAATGTCTAACATCTCATTTTATATCTTTGTCGATAAAAATTCTGAAAGAAAGGACTCATTTGAAACTTTTTTCCCAAACCTCATATAGGGGGGAAATTGTGCTGTGAGAGTTTCATACAACCTCATAGGGAAAAAATTATGGAATTAGGTGCTTCTAATGACCATGAAAATGTATGTGAGGATATAAGACTTGTAGGGAGAGAGAGAGTTTCACAAATTAAGAAAATGGTTGACAATAAAAATTGAAATGATGACCCATAATGAAAATGTCAGATAAAATGACAGTGTTTGTTATTCTTCATAACTCTCATTTTCAATTTGCTTAGGAAGTTTACTGAACTGAAAATAATCCTTTATGCTTTCTGGTAAATTCCTGGTCTATTCAGACTTATTTTACTGTATATATATACATTTACTTGTTGTTTCAGGTGACACTGAAATCAGCAGTTAATAAGTGTCAACAAGCAATGTTACCTCTTACTAGATCCACTTTATCCAATTATGCACACATGGTAGTAATGTTTTGGGTGAACAGATTTAATTTTGTATTTATACTCCTCACTATACAGACCAAATATAGTTATGCTCCAAATTGGGGGGGAAAGGAATTTGTTTTGATAAATACTGACTAGACTGAAAAGCGTATTAAATTCTATCCCCCCCCCCAGAAAGACGTTCTTGTAATTTTTAATCACATGGACTTGAAATAATTAGCTGAACACTATGGCCAGTACATTTTTTCTGATATGACATGATAATATTTAGTTCTTAACATTAAGCAGCATTTTTATATATAGGTTCACTGACATGACAGAAGTGCCTTGCAAGTGGTGCATGTAAATTAGTTACATGAAAAGACTAAGCTTGAATGTGAAGTGTACCCATTCTGAAATGGTGTGCTAATGAGCTGCAGTTTCCTCACCTTTTTCCAGTTTTCCTACTTGTCACTTTAGCCTGACTTTCTAGCTCGTAACCCAAGGGAGCTTCATGTTAAAAACACCACAGAACATTACCATGTCACCGTAAGACCATGACCGCAGGCACATTTTTCCTCAGTGGTCATTCTACCCTATTATACTTAGACTAGCAATCACAACCTGTCTTATAAGACATCAGAATGAGTAATTTCCAAACTGGTCTAAAATTATTAATGAACTTTATATTATTTTGCTTTCCATGTATTCTAATCTTGGTCACACTGACCCTGGGCAGATTTTCCTCTACTCCAGAATACCAAAAGATACATAACAGGGAAATTCCATGAACTAGAAATCAGTGTCAAAAATAAAAAAAGTACTGCATTTTACTTAAACATTCTTTGACTGCAATTGTAAATCTAAAGAAGGTAACTGTAATACACTGTAATGATAACAGTATGTGCTATTATATCTGGTGTAATACTACAAGATGACTTGATCTGAGAACTGTGAACAGCAGCTATATTTCAACGCATTCATTACACATAAAACATAAAATATCTGTATATGAGTATGAGCTGTACACCTGCATAATGGCACTACAACAAACATGAATCACTTTCATCGTGTCAAGCCAAAAATCAGAAAATTGCAAATACATCATAACTACTCGTGATGATAAAATGATTTTGGCCATCATGAATACCAGACTTTACATCCCAAGTTTTCTATCTTTAGAAAAACACAAAGAAGCATTTGTTAAATGCATTCTGTTAAAGTTAAAGCGAGACCTGAAACCTGCAGGCTGTGAATGTTACAAAGATTAAACAAAAATCATGCTTATATAAATAACCCAACTGCTACCACTTTCAACATTACGTTTGAAATAAATGAGATTCATGTACTAACGCATGTCTTTTCAAATACGACTATGGTTGAGAGACTATGGTCAGAATAGTTACTGTATAACTGACGATAAATGCTGTGTCAAGCGGGAAATCAAAATGCAGTATCTGGATAGTGAGCTTCTCAAAAGAACTGAATCTCATGCTCCTACTGTGCCTGACTGCCATTTGCCAAATATTATCAATCCCACTTTTACAGTGATCTGAATACATGTTAATTCCATAACAATGTTGAGTACTGCTTTAGTGGTAATGTCAATTACAATTAGCAGTTTCAACAGCCGTGGAATTCATCCATAAAAACTGTGCAGTGAAAACTGACTTGTCAGATTCATAAACAGTACAACACAAAGTCTTGTGAAATATATTGCATTTACACAAACAGAAAACATCCATAACACTGAGCTTTTTTAAGTATAATATTTGAAAATAACTTCTAATTTCTAAAAAAAAAAAAATGTACTAAGTAATTACCTTCTTTAGTTTTATCACAAATGGTACGTAATTTTACTGGCCCGTTACAAAGTCAGAATCAAAGAAACATGGGAAAGGGCTATTTCATCATTTATGGGCCAGTGGTATTACTACATACGGCAAAAACAGTCAGGCTGCCGACGATTGTTTTCCCGGTGCAAACGGCGAGTGGTTGTATCCCCATACTGAATTCCTGAGCCAATCCTCTCGGGGTCAAGTTCACCTAATGAATGGATAATTATGTAATTTTAACACAAACAAATAATATGCTTCACTTTGTGAAGGTGTCTGAACCCTTAATTTTTATCTGCACCAAGTACTGTACAGTGGACCAAAGAGGATGTAGGGTGGGGGAAACTTGGGTCAAGGCAAAGTGATGAGCGCAGTGATCATGAAATCTAAAAACATTCATACCTCCTAACACCTACAAGTTTTGTTAAGTATGTGCATATGTGCACAATCATCATTTCCCACTTCATGTCATTACTTTCAGTTAATACGTCTAAGAAATTTGGTCTTGCAACAGAATTTACCGGGGCACACGGTAGCGTAGTTGGTTGAGGCACTATGCTACAAGCCGGAAGGTCGTGGGTTCAAGTCCCGATGAGGTCATTGGATTTTTTCAATTGACCTGGGGTTGACTCAGCCTCTAAGAGAAATGAGTCCCAGGAATATTCTTGGGGGTAAAGGACAGCCGATGCGTAGGACTGACAACCTTGCCGCCATCTATGAGCAGATTGTCTAGAAAATGTGGGAACCTCAACATCTCACAACCCTATGGGCCTCCACGGCCTGTTACAGGGATACCTTTACTTTACTTTTTTAACAGAATTTACTATCAAACATTATTTTATTCACTACCCAGCATTTGGTTTTTCCCACATATGGCAACTGCCATTGGTCATCTGGAAGAAATTTACTGACATATAAAATGTTGAATTTCTTGTTTGCAAGTTTGCTACCCTGCTTACATTTTTATTATAAATGCATAACTATCAATTTTGGCTTCACTTTTTGATTCTGAATTTTATAAATGTGTACATGAGCAAGAAAAAAAAACACATTTGAAAACATTTAACTGACCATTAATTAAACTGAGTGAATAAAATGTCTGTAATATTGAACTTCTTTATTAAAACCGTCACAACACAACCATATCGAGGTCAGTGCCTAGTTTTGACTATTAATAGCCATTATCAGGCAAATACATGGCTAACATATACAGGGTCTCCCAGGAGGAATGTGCCAAACTTCGGGAGGGTGTTCCTTATGTTAAAGTATGCCGATATAACCCAAAACACCTATGTCCAAAGTTGAACGGTTACGGAGATAATGGCCAGAGAAGTGTCAAACTTTGACCGGGGTTACACACTTGTNTTAGTTTGTGTAATTTTGTTGCTTTCCCATGGACAGAATGGAGTATTCTCTATATTTTGTGTGTATATAAAAAACTGTTATTGGAGACTCGTGATGTAGATGTAGTAATATTAATGTTAATTATTTAGTCGGTGCCTCATCTTAAAAGTACTGTCTGTTCTGTATGGAATGTAAACAATGACTGATTTGGTGATGTAAGATGTATATACAGAGTGTCCCAGGAGGAATGTGCCAAACTTCGGGAGGGTGTTCCTTATGTTAAAGTATGCCGATATAACCCAAAACACCTATGTCCAAAGTTGAACGGTTACGGAGATAATGGCCAGAGAAGTGTCAAACTTTGACCGGGGTTACACACTTGTTG